CAAACTAAAAGAATTGCTCAGTCCTCTGAAAGCATCACAGAGGACTGAGTGAGAGTGCTTTCACATATTTAGCCATCTAGGGGCTGGGATTGAGCTGTGCTGTAGCTTGGTGCTGGTACTGGAGCTTTAGGCTTTGCAGAATGATTTCTTGCTGCTAGTTCCTGGAGGCATTTAATGAAGGTGGTTGACTGCTAGGACAGGCTTTTGGATGTTGTTCTGTTGTTATCTGCTTTAGAGCTGTTTGAGGTGTGCCTTGGCCATGATGCAGCTGTCAGAAAGGGGAAAGATAGCAAATATCCTCCTTTCCCATTGCAGAGCCATCAGAGTGAGGTGCAAAAGTTGCAAAGCTGAGTGAAATATGGTGCAGATCTCATCAGGGAGAGGAATTGGAATACTCTCAGTAGCCAGAGTTGTCACAGAGCTTGGGAATCCTTAACTGCCCTCCATCAGTGGTGACGTTTCTGCAGTGAGAGTCACTGGCCCAGTGATCTGCTGAGAAAAGAGCACTTCTCCACAAGGAAGCAAGCGTGGCCCGGCACCTTGCAGGCTGCACAGGAAACAACCTGGCTCAGGAGCAGGCAGTGTCTGTACCATCCACCCACATGTGGTATCAGGGTTCCAAGCCACAGAAGTGTCCCTAGCACGCACCCACACCCCTGGGCTCCTGTGCTGGGTCCTGGAGTTTTCAGTGCCATAGTCTTGCTGTGCAGATCAGGTGTACTGCTACCCTGGGACACCTTCTCCTGTGGGCCTCAGGTTGGCTGGGGGCTGCAGTGTTTTCCCTGTGCTCGTGTTTGGCTCCTTCACCTTCATTTTAGAGAAATGAATGAGATGAAGCTGATGGAGGTAACCGTGGCCAGATGGAGCTTGTGGACAGGGAGCATACAAGTGTTCCACCACCAAGCTAGAACACATGGTATGTCCCCAGCTCTCAGACAGCCCTTGAATTGGTTGCCAAATCAACACCATTTTTTGGAAAACCATGAGTGCAGAGATGATCCAGTTTGCCTCTGAGCTGATATAGGAGTTCAGATGATTAGTGCTTATATAGAGGTCTTGCTAGATATTGAGGAGTTTCTGCCTTTGAGTTGGACAGGACAAAGCTTGAGCATCTGTTTCTCTTCACACAGAAGAGAAAATCTGAATGTTTTTCTTGTTTCCTTTGGCCTTCCCTAGTACAGCTAAGGTGTTCTAGCAAAGGTATAGGTTGTTTGGGTTTTTTTTTCTAATTTCTTTTCCTTCCTGAACTTTCCCTTGTGACAAGCTCATTTTCAACCAAGCCTGAGCGATGCTATCATTGCTCAAACCTCAGTAATTTCCATGAGAACCAACCATCATCAGGTAATTTCCATGAGAACCAACCATCATCAGGCAGGAGATGCTGTCACAAATGAGATTTTTTTCTTGTACAGATTTTCTCCTCTGAACAGCCCTTACTTTGGATCATGGTTGTACTTCACTGCCTTGCAGGTGGAAAAGGGACTGGGAGAGGACTGGACTTTGAAAAATACAGTACTTATGTCCTGAGTTAATTATGCCTGTGGCATGCAAGGGAGGTAAAGCTGTTTGTGCAGTCAGACTGAACATGAGTTGGTGTTCTTTTGCTCCTGCGGGATGGAGAGCTAGGGCAAGGCAGGCTGGAAAGAGGGCAGCAGGTACTGACTGGAAATTGGTAGCAAGCAGGCATCAGTATGTATGAACCCAGAGGAAGGAGGGGAAAAAAAAAGAAGAGGGTGAGTTATAGGTAGTGGCCCTCTACTTGATTTTATTTTTGAGTAATTATGTGTGGTCCTAGCTTTCTGTGTCTCTGCAAAGCAAGGAAGCTCAAGGAGACAGCCATATGACAAGTGGAATTCTTGTAGGGAGACGTTGCATGGCTGACAGAGGAAAGCATGCGATGTCTCAACCCCAGGAGACTTCTTTTTGCAGAGTCAGCACTTTACCATGCATCCTTTCTATGGTCCTCACTGTGTTTTATTTCTCATTCTTGGATTTTAATAAAAAACAAATAAACAAAAAACATTTTAAAAGATCGCTATAAGGAATTCTCTTCACTTAAGGAATTCGCATCACGTAAGTGATGTGATAAGGACTTCTTAGCATACCATATAGAGCTCTGGTTAACAAAATGGGCACACAATGAGTCATTATTCCTTAAGTCCACAGCTTTGTGTGTGCATTGTGCAGGCAGGTAGATTGTGGGAAGTCAGGATTTCCACACACAGCACAACCGTAGAGATATCTGCCATGCACACTTTCTCATTAAATAAGCATTTCTCCTCTGCTCTGCTATGTGCATGTACTACTGATGAAACGGGACAGTCACCTCATTTTAAAAAAAAAAAAAAAAAAAGGTAAAAGAAAGTTACTGTGTGAAACTCAAATTATGTATACGCTTAATAAGCATAATTACATAAAGCTTTAGAATGACTTTAATTCTGGAGATAAGTTTTGTTGCAGTTACTAGGTAATATGGGGCTCTTGGAGTGGAAAGCAGTAAGCAATAATAATTATGAATGGGATTTTAAGAAGCAACCCTTATTCAGGAAGTGCTGGCTGCTTTTGAAAATCCCACCTTCTGTTTTGTAGCATGAGAGCAAGAAAGAGATCAGAGCTATGAATCAGATGTGTATTTAATTCAGCAAATTGAAAAAGCTTTGCAAAGTACCAGGGGCCCAGACAACATCTGGTTCAAAGGCAATATTCCATCAACCTCTCCAAAGAAAACACAATGAAATCATTGTGATGAAGTCTTAGCAAAGCACCGATATTAACAACAGACCTCTCATTTAAAATCCTACATACTTGGGACTGGATTAGAGGAGTTTGAAGGGGTCTAGAGAAGAGAAAATAGGCTTGCTGGCATTAGTGCAGCATATTGGTAGAGCAAGCACTAGCAAAAATAAAGCTGACTTAGCTTAGAAGAATTAGAGGTGAAAGTTTTTTGTTGGTTTTTTTTTTGCATATTCATACACTGATGGATATAGCAGGGGTTGTTCGAACTCTTCCCTCTATCTAATATGCCATCATCTGAAAGACATCTCAAAGCAAGAGCCAAGCACAAGGATTGAAAGCTCTCATCAGAGCACAGAAGCTGTTGCGATGTAGATGAGTCAAACTGGAGAGAGACTGGATAGCTTTGTGGTTGTTAGTGTTAGCAGTAGGAATGCAAGCTGCAGCAATGGAAGGCAATCAACCTGCCCATTTTCCACTGTGAAATGGTGATTTTCAGGGGGATGCTGGCAGAAGTGTGGGTTGCAGCATCCCCAGGATTCAGGAGTGGATTGCTTAGTCTCTGAAGCACTATGGGACCAAAGACGCCACTTGTGTTTAATATCTCTGCTTAAGGGAGCAAGGCTGTAGGGCCGTGGTCCTTTTCGTAATCAGGCACAGAGAATGGTACTTTCTGTCTTATCTGTGAGCACGTGAGCAGAAGCAGCAGCTCAGCTTGGGGGAACTGAGGCATGCTGTCATTTGAAGCCTGGGGCTATTTCTCCAGGTTCTTCAGTTGCCAGTACTGCTGTTCTTATCCTTGCCATCCACAGCCAAGACCAGTTATGCATGAAAGGCAGCAAGAGCCAAGCTAGTGGTGTGCGTGTGCTTTGGTGTGTGTGTGTGCAGCAGCAGTGGTGTGGGTGAAGTGTGCTCCTCTCCTGCATGGTGCAGCCCAGCCCTGGCTCCTGAGTCAGAGCTGTTTGGGTCTCTCTTCATTCTGCACAGCATGCCCTGCCCTTGGGCCTGCTTGTTAAACGGAAATTGGTCAGTGTTGCTGGCAGCAGTGGGCTTTAGCCCCCTCCAGAGCCACATTGAACTCATTCTAGTGGGTGAGAAAACTTTGACTCTCTAATGTTTCTGTTCAGCTCCCAGCCTTACTTCACTTTGCTCCTCTGTTCCCTTCTTCCCTTTATGATGCTTACTATTATTTTTCCATCCACAGCAAAACAATTCACATCAAAGTAATTGATGATGAGGAGTATGAAAAAAACAAGAGTTTCTTCATTGAGCTGATGAGCCCCCGCATGGTGGATATGAGTTTACAGAAAGGTGTAGTACTGGCCCTCCAGACTAACGTTAACGTTCTTCTTTCTTCTTCTCTCTTCTCCTTCCTCCACTTTTCCTCCTCTTCCTCTGACTTCTCTTTGTTTCCAACTGCTCTGTCCTAAACACTGCTGTGCACGCACTGTGTCACATGGTATCCATGGATTGGGGGAAACGGGGGCGGTAGGGGAGCCTGGGGCAGACATCGTAGGAGAGAAAGAAAGAAGAATGGTCCTCAGTGGGTATATTTTTCAGTGAATGTTTCCATTGATGAGAAGGGTCAAGGCAAATTCTGTAGTGCTAGGGGAAGATGCTCACTAGAAACATGGAGCATATCTGGAGCTCATCACCCAGCTGTGCTCCAAGAGCTGTGTCCCTTAGTCACAGAAAAAGCTGGGGGAGGAGGAAGGCAGCATTAGGGAGGAGAAGCAATGAGATGTGCTGCTTTGAAACTGTGGATTAGGAACGCTAGCCTGCTGCAGCTAGCAGTGCTGTAACCCCACAGAGGAACATGGCTGTGAGTATGCGGCTCTTTTTTCTCAAGCTCTGAGCCAACAGTCCCTGTGTTAATTGTGAAAGTAGCAGAAACAATCAATCTTCCAGCTAAAATGCAATTGGTACCCCAGATATCAACTCCTGTTGATAACCAGGCAGCTGATACCCTTTCCAATTACCATGTGACACCGAAAAATGTGCTGCAGAAGTCGCCTCCCACTAACCATCAGCAAGGTCCGACCCCACCTTTCCCCTCCCTCCTCACCTCCCCGCCAGCCCGGTCTCCCCCTAACACCCTCCTGCTCCCCAAGGAGCTGCAACCGACGCGCCATGTCCAAGAGGCCGGCCAAGGCGCGCTGCCCTGCGGGAAGGGGCCGCACGCCAGGAGCCTGCGCTGCTGCCGTCGCCGCGTCACCTGCGGCCTACCAACCCGCTGTACACGGTTGTCTCTCTTGTTGTCCCTACAGGAAGACCGTAAGGGTTAAGATAGTAGATGAGGAGGAATACGAAAGGCAGGAGAATTTCTTCATTGCCCTTGGTGAGCCGAAATGGATGGAACGAGGAATATCAGGTGTGAGATCCTTTATGAAAAAAACTCAAAACAAATAGAATCAAGTCTCCAAACCCCAAACCCAGAAAATATAACCCTCTCTCTCTCCTCCTTCCCCCCCTTCCTTTTCTCCTCCTCATGTGGATGGATGGACTTTGACTCTCTGCCCTTCCGTATCCTCGCGCTCACACTGTCCCAGCATCACCTCTCCTTTTAGCGCCCAGCTTACTTCTGATCCTCCTTTTGTGCAATGCTTGAGCCTCAGAGACTGTACTATTTTGACGGGATTTCTTTGTCTTGGTCTGTTTTTGTTCTGAGCACACCTCTGCTGTTCTCCCCTCTCCTGCTCCTTTGCCAGGACCTTGGGGAATGTGAGAGACAAGGGACGGGCATAGTGCATGGCTGCCTCTTCGGCTCGTCCCGTACACCCCCCTGTCCTTTCCTCTGTTGTTGCCTGCCAGTGGCATTGCCTTGGTGCTCTTGGGTCCCTATGAGACGTGGTGAAAAGCCCACAGAAGAGGGAAGGTATGAGGTATCCTGTTCTGTGTTTATTTTGCAAAATGGTTCTCCGTGTCTTTAATCTGAAAAGCACCTTACTGTGTCTCAGACAACCCCAGCCTGTTATGCACAGAGTGTAGAGCTCTGTTAATGTCCAATGTGAGCATTGGTACAGTGAAACCTGGGATCTCCTAGCAGATCAGGATTGTAGTTGGTATAAACTCGGAGTTTCTGTCATGCCTTGCCTGCATGTATCTTTGTCCTTGTATATGTGTTTGACTTTTCTCATTGAATAAGTCTTGCCATTGGCGTCACCAGCTTAGGGGTGGCCTGGGAGAGCCGATCTTTAAATAGAGAAGCACTTTACATGCTTTTGTAAAGGAATCCTAACTCACCTTTTAGAGTCTGAAGTGAAATAAAACCAGATGTGCATGCCTGTGGGCTTCTGATCCCTTGTACTGCTGCTGGTGATAGAAACATCTGGCAATTTCCAGTGCATCACACAGCTTTCCCTTGTTGAAACATTTCCATCTTTCTTATCTCATAAGTACAGGAACTATCCCCTAGTCAGTCTGAGCTCTCCTGCATGGTTCTCCAGGACATTAGGATAGACACAGCTTGCATTAGCATGACAATGGCACATAGTGTCTGTGGATTTGTAAAATGTAAACCCCCAAACCATTAGTAGTTTAGTGCCATTAGACCATCCCATGCCTCCCCTGGGTGGTGACCGACTTGAGGTTTCTCTGCATGCTGAACTCAGCCCTTTAGGTTTCACCAAACTCCAGCTTTAGTGAGCATTCACTCTTAATCAGAAGCAGTGATAAGCCTGCCATATCCCATGGAGGTATGTTCACTCCCCTCCACTGTAAATATGTGGGCATGGCTTCTGCCTAGAAGTTGCCTGGCTTCAGCTTGTAGCCACTAGTTATTTTTCTGCTTTTCTCCATCAGATTTAAGAACTACGTAGTGTTCTGCATCTTCTGGGTAGGTACTCACTATATCTATATTACACTTAAATTTCTTCTTGGAAGGAGATTCAGTCTTTGAATCTAAGACTGCAAAAATGTCTTCTTGCGCTCTTAGAAGACCTCCAGGGTCTTCTCTCCACACATGCCCCTTTCTGTCTATGGGGCTCATGCCTCTGTGTCACTGGGCACATGAGGGAAAGCACTGCTTCTGACTCCCTCCTGCACATGCAGGAGCATCTCAGTGAAGCTCCTGCTCAGTTGTTTGCCCTCTATGAACCCAGGATCCTTTTCTAAAGCAATGAGATACAGATTCTAGCTAGGGTAGGGCTGGCTTTTGTTAAATCCTGTGTTTCTGTTTCCTGCCTAGGCTACCATCCTCATTGTTAGCAGGACAGTGATGCTAGTTTGCTGTACTGTGCATGTCTCATTTACACTAGCATCGGTGATAGTCAGTGGGATTGCCAGATCTGTCACAGGCAGAGAGATCTGTCGGATTACTTGTTCACCACACAGCCTGCACAAGGCAGCCACTTCCACCTGAGGTGAAGGTGCAGCCTCAGCTGGACTCTGCCTGTCAGAAGGAAGTGCTGGACCATGAAGAGAAGGAGGCATGGAGCCCTGGTTGGCCTCAGTAGAGAAAAGTCAGAGCAAGAGCTGTGTGTTTATAAAATCTAGAAGACAGATTAAAGCACATCTGTAAATATTCCTGGCACAAGGTGGCACAGTCGCTACACTGATTCTAGGGCACTTGGAAGGATTCTACGCTCTGCAGAGCTGCACAACACAGCCTCTCTGGTGAGCTTATCTGGAGTCTGAGATGATAGAATGAGGAGCTCAGCAGCACTGGGAGGGACAGCCAGCCACTGTCATCACCAGCAGCGTCATGGATGGCTCCCAGTGGAGAAGGCTGTGCAGAGCGTGGATTCTCAGCACTCATGAAGTCATGTGCCCGTATTGCTGTACTGCATCACGCATGCTTCTACCTTGAAGGATGCCCAAAGCAAGGTCGCGGCAGCCTCTTCTGTGCAAAGAGGCCTGTACAAAGCTGGAAGGATGCAACTACAGGCTGGGAAAAAAGTCTCCACACACTGCCATGTAGCTGGGACTTGGTTTCAATGCAGTGATGGATGGGACCCACAAGACAAGGGCAAAGTGTGGCTCCTGGCTCTTCTGGGAGATTCAGGCTAGTTGCTTTTGGTGAAGTCTCTCTGGGTTTCAGCTACTCACGCTTCTTTCTACCACTGCAAAAGACGTGGCTTTTTTGACTGTGTGGCCTCATTTTGTTATTACTCCTCACTTGGCTCTGCCTCACTGTGCCTGCGCCTAGAGTGCTGTAGAAGCGTTTCCTGTTTTCAGACTGCCCTTCATGGTGTCTTCAAAACAACTCTTCTGGCCCCCTTGGGAACAGGATTGTGTTGCATGGCTCGGCTGGCTGCCAGCCATGCTGGGAAGCAGCCTGCCGCCCAGCTGTGCTGAGGCAGCTTCTCCATCCCTGTAGTGCCTGCAGGAGGGCTGTGTCATGTGAGTACCACACCTGCTCTGAGCCTGCGGACATGCTGCTGTTAAACTGTGCCGTAAGAGTTGCTGACCGCATACTCCATTCCGTGCTCTTCTTTCTATATAGATGTTGTGTGTGCAGTACCAAACCCTGTCTGGCAGCCCATTTCTTCTTTTTCATCAGTTGCTTTCTGCAGCTACAATTTCTCAAAGACTTTCTGGTCATCCAAAAAGTGCGAGTTGGTGTTAGCAGCTTTTTTATTGATGTACTCAAATAATTCAGAGATCAGAAAGATCCCTTTCCTGCCACCTTTCTGGCTATATTTTTCTCAGCACCTTTTGAAAGTGTTCCTTCTGTGAAATGAGTTCTTTGCTTTATGACAAGATGCAGTATTTTGGTTTCACTGTTACTCCCATGGCAGCTCTGGTATGGTGTTACTGCTCAGGTCAGAGATAAGTTTTTACTACTGCCAGCCCTGCAGGATGTTAGAGAAATCCAGCCTGTTTTTACTTTCCTCACACATCAGCTTTCACGGTTTGTCCATAGCCCTGGATTGTGGGAGCAAAACTTGCTTTGCTTTTCCTGGAAGTAATCAGTCTTTCACCTAAATTGTGGTTAACCTTAGGGTTGATAAAGCCCAAATGGCTGCTTTGGAAGATTTCAGTTGATAACGGATAATGGTGAAAATAACTTCTGGAAAATTGTTTCATGAGGGTGATTGGGAATCTGCTCATGAGAATCCAACTAGCGGTACAGTGGCAGAAAATTCAACCCCAGAGATGGAGTGCTGATTCTACAGCATTATACTCTGCAAAAGGGACCAACATCCTTCATGCAAGATTTTGCTTCAGAAACCACAATGTGACTACGAGATATGCCTTCACTGGAAGTGGGAGCACAGGTGGTTTGTGAGCACTGTTAAATAAGTAGCTGGCTTGGGAAGATTTTGTCTGAAATCCCCTTCAGCCTTTCCAGCACAGCGTGATGTGGTGTGGATGGATGTCCTGAGACATCTCTGTCACCTCCCTGCACAGGAAAGCTTCATTGCTAAGAGGGCAGATGTGGCTGGAACTCAGAGTGAGGATTAAACTGCAAAGAAAGATGGATTCCTAGATTGGATAGATCCAAACAAGTTATCTGTTTCCAAATGTTGATGATGGCACAACTGGGTATAAAGGTCTGTGCTGGACAGATAAGCCACATCGATATGGGAGGATTTGTGTGGCAGCTTTCTGTGGTATGGGCAGGTTCTGAAAAACTCCTTCTTCCATTAGCTGCTAATGGGAATATCAAATAAATGTTAGATTGCTTCTGCCTTTTTCCCCAAAGGTTTAATAATTTGTTGCAGTTCTGTGATTAAGCTGACTGCTGCTGATTATCTTGATGGACAGAATGGATCATGGTCTGTTTCTTGGTGTTTCTGCCATTAACTTCAATAATAACAGGATTGAGGCTAAAGCTTCAGAATCTCTGCCTTGTTTATCTAATGAAAAATACGCTTTCATAGCTCTTCACAGTCCTTTAGGAAAGCAGTTCACTCACTTCAGTGCAAGCTAGAGCCGGAGCCCATTGGCAGTGCAGTGAGCCCTGCTTTGGGCTAGTGGGCAGGTAGTTTGTAGCGTGGTGTTTCCTTTGTATGCCCCAAGGATCCAGGCTGTGCTCTTTATCAGTGACATCAACAGTGGAACCGAGTGCATCCTCAGCAAGTTTGCAGAGCTGTTTACACTAAGGGTGGTGAGGCACAGGCACAGATCGCCCAGAGATGCGGTGGATGCCCCATCCTGGGAGATGCTCAAGGTCAGGTTGGATGGGGCCCTGAGCACCGTGACCTAGCTGTGGGTGTCCCTGTTCATTGTAGGGGAGTTGGACTAAATGGCCTTTAAGGGCCCCTTCTAACTCAAATGATTCTATGATGGTTTGTATTCACCTTTTCTCTTGTGCTGTAGATGGGGCTCCCCTCCAAATCCTCAGCCTACCTCATTTCCATTTGCTTTGCAAGCAACATGCATTTAACCACCTATGTGGATCCTTTTAGCTATGTAGCAGCTTTTTGGAATTGTTAGGTACATTGATTAGAGAAGATTTATGTAAATGACCAATAAGGCCAGAATAAAGCATGCAATGTGGTGAACCCTTTCTGTGATGTAGAAAGAGCACAAGAAGGTATTTTATTGTTCAGAAAACATCTGAGCTTGTGTGGTTTTATTTGTACAGCACTCCCTGTGCTTGTTCCTTTCGGTATGTGCCGCTATACTCTTTCCTGTGGAAATCAAGGCTTTGAGTCTCCTGAGAGTCCAGGGGAAGGCAGCATTAGTGCCCATGGCCTTGTCTGCAGGCGCAGGTATTTGTCTGCACACCTGCTGTGCATGGTTTAGGCAAGGGATTTTCAAGACTACTCATCTGGATTTGGCTGCTGAGCTAATTTTAGCAGCTGCCTGTAAGGAGATGCTTGCCAGGCCTCTGAGGCTACCTGATATGCCGACAGCAGTGCTGAGATGATCTGGCTTGGGCTTGGGGTGGGACAGAAGAGCAGGGGTGGAGGAGAAGAGGTGCGGGGAGAGGCCTGCAGGAGCAGCACAGTGGTTGTGGGAAGCTGGTATAGGTACAGCATCCACAGACAGACTGTCAGTAAGCTGTACAGGTCAGGACTGAGGGCACATTAGCTGATGCATGTGCGGGAAGGAAGCTTTAGTCTGTGAAATCATTTTCTTGCTTGCATGCACAACGTTCACTCAGAAATATACAGATAAAATAATCCTTTGGCTTTCTGCTTGCTGTATTCTTAATGTTTCATTCATAGCTTTATAGGCTTCTTCAAATATTCATGTATCATATCATAAGTGAAAGGGAGAAAAATACTTCTCTTGCAGGCTCAAAAGCAAATGGGAAAAAAATAAACTCAAATCCCAGAATGCTAGGATAACATTTTTAAAAAACATGAGGAACCAATGATTTTTATTATTATTTTTTTAATAAGCATGGTAGCTCAGGGGCCCAGTAATACTTCATTATATTAAATTTGAACAGTGAGCCGACCCATTGTACTAATACTTGTAATTGCAAAAGGAAAATTAAATTTTCTCCCATTGTCTGAAGGACCAGTAGACCGTGGAAGAGGAAGGAGGCCATAGTATGGAGCTAGGACAGAGCTACGAAGTCTCAGGGGCGATGACCAGGGCCGTTGATGGTGCCGAACAGTGGGACTGGTGTTGTATGGTCAGTGCCTCTTTGCAGCCTTCAGGGCAGGGTTTCTGATGGCACGCAGGTGAGCCAGGACACAGCAACGCTCCCCCGGCTATGCAACCTTAGATAAATTGCTTAGGAAATCACTTTCAAACAAGCATAGATAAAATTAGGTACCTCTGTGCAAAGGTGCCTGCTTCTCTGAGGCCTGAGCTGGCAAGCCTGGGTAAATTAGTACTTTTGGACTCCTGCCCATTTCTGAGTTCGCAAAATGTTCCCTTTAGCCTCTCTTTGCTGGTTTCACCATCTGTCAAATGGGGATGTTAATACTGACTCAGTTTTTGTACAGAGTTTTAAGCTTCTGAGACTCAAAGTGCGTGATAATAAGTGTTAGTAATTACAGTACCGTCATAGCATGCAACCGAGTCTCTGGAGACAGCTTGCTGCTTGAAGGACAAGCAAAAGTCATAGCTAAGGCACAGTGCTCACTACTTTTGGAGACGATTTGGTATATTTTGCTGTGTGATCTCTCTTACAGGCTTCACTATGGTTACTCTGAAAGCTGGGCCTAGACTGTGGCTTTATAGGGGGACCCCCATTGTATCCAGACCTCCCCTGGCGAGGCCCTCGCTGAGCTGCAGCTTGGGTCATGCCAGGCCCTGATGGCAAGCGTGGCTGTCTCCTGCTCCTTTCCCTTCCCTTCCCCACCTGCATCCCATTCCTCTGCCTTTGCTTGGGGGGTGATTTTTGGGAGCCCTGATGCGGTGCTCACCAGCATCACTTCCATGTTGCTGCCATGTCCCTAGCCTCTGCCTGGCATGTAGCCCTAAGCAGCTCACACATCGCATTGGGCCATGGCCATTGCTCACTGAACGTTGTCTTCTGCTAAACAGCTTCTCCTGCGACATTAACTTTCTCCCTGTTTTCTTCTTTCTCTCTGTCTGTCTCTTGTTGTTTCTCTCCCCACAGCTCTGCTGCTCACCCAAGGTAAGACTGCTTCTTCTCCTTTCCTCATCCTGCTCTGCCTGTTTTTGTCCTCTTTAGTCAGCCCTCTCTGTCTGTATTTGCTGCGTGCAGGAGCGAGGTACCACCCCAGCTCCAAGTGCTCCCGTCCAGCAGGGGCTGGGTCAGAATTGTGCATTAAGACCATAAAATGACTGATGCCTGAGAGCCTTCCTCCCCATTCCAGAAATTTCCCTGCAGTTTCAGCAAATGGCCCAGCCAGGGCCTGCAGCTTTGACCCCAACTCTTCTTCCTGAGGCAGCTCCAGGGGTTTTGCTCCTCATGCATCGGGTTTTCCTGCAATCACAAAACCCCTTGGCCAGAGCAGGCACGTGAGATGTCCCCACTGCTATGCCGGGGGCCACTCAGTGCCAGCAGCACAGCTGAGATGTGATGGGCTCTTGCTCCTCACCTCCCCGTAGCAGCATTTACCTTTATTAGTAATTTCATTGCCTGAAATCCCCATTATGCTGGTCTATCTCAATCACACATAGTGGTGATTTATGTCTCCTGTATTTTCTCAGTCCTTCAATCCCAGGTATGATTACAGTTCAATTTGCACTAAAGAAACATTTATCAAAAGCTCAAAGCCAGGTGAGCAGGGTGCAGGGAAAAGCTGGCAGCTTGGCATGCCAAGTTGAAAACCAACAGCCTTGTGTGCAGCAGTAGAAGCTGCGAGTCCTGCAGTGGCTGCAGTAATGTGAGGGCTGTTTGCAGGCTTCAGAACCCCCAAGAAGAGCTCTGTGCTCCTTTGGCTCACCATGGACCGTGGGTTTTAGTAGGCTTTGTTGCAGGTGAAATCAAAGAGCTGATTGCATTTATTCATAACACCCAAGCTATGCTGCAAACTGACAGTATCTCTGCCATGAAAGCTTCTGTCTCTGCAGTTTTTAGGAGGATGCCAAATGTGCTGTGCAGGGATGGCCTGAGCCTTCAGGAGATGGGGCTAATTAGGAAATTGCTAGTGGCAGGCAGAAATCCCCAGCTCCCCAAGTATCAGCTTGGGGTGTTTGTGGAAAACTCCTCTGAGTAGTTTGGATGGCTTCCTTTGTTACTCTTTCAACTCCAGGATGACTAGGAATAAGTTGAGCACAGCCTCCTTCCCAGTAATTTCATTGCTTTAATTCAGTAGCTGCCTAATTTGATCAGAAACTCGGGAACCAAATAATCTGTGTTAAAATAATATAACTTTCTCCCTCTGTTGCAATCCAGCTTGATTGCTTTTGGCAGCTGTTAGTGGATACTGTGGTCACTAGCTCTAAGAAGCTGATCTCCAGGTGAGGTTTGTGGGGCACAGCCTCCTGCTGTCCCCTGTGCTGGGATGCCCCATGCCCTTGGGGCACACAGTGAGTACTTGGCTGTGTTCTGGTCTGGCAACACTCGCTCCTGGAGTATATTGCTGGAATGTCACTCAGCAGCCATCATGGCTAATAAGGAGAGAAGTGATGTTCTCATTTAGTCCATGTCATGTTAGATTTAGGTTACACAGAAGTGCAGGAATCTTTGTAAAAACAGCTTTGTTGAGAGTTCTGGGGGAGTCTTCCAGTCCTCTCCCTCACAGACCATCTCCCATGTTCCCCTTCCCTTGCATGGCACAGCCCCTGCTTGCCATCTTTTTGCAGAAGTTCCCTGCATGCATGAAGAAGAACCTGCATGCAACACAGATGGGGAGATGAGCCCAAGCGAGAACACATTTTGTGTCCAGGTGGCCTTTAGTTGGAGAATATTGGAGAGCCTGAGTGTGCCAACCCCTGCAGACCTATTCCTGGGAAAACAGGGCTGTGAGTTTCACACGAGGCAGCACTGCTGGGCTGGGAAAGCCTTTGGCTCAGGTTCTGCTGTGCTATTTGCGTTCACCAAACTCCAAGGCAGACTTCTGAGCTTTTCTTGGGCTTAGGATGTTTGGATTCTTAGCTGTATGAGGAATTACCAAACTTTAGCTACTTATCTACCCTCACTTCCACATATTCATCCAGATCAAAGAAATAGTAGTTCTAAAAATGTTTTTTTGTGCATTGAAATTCATGGGCCCGCTTTCTGCATGTGTGCTGCATGGCTGCTGCCCGCTTTGTGGTGGGAAGGCTGAGGAGCAGGGCCACCAGCAAGGGCCTGAGAGCAGGGCAGCAGGGAACTCGTAGAATCATAGAAGAGCCCAAGTTGGATCCTTGGGTCCCCGTAAGGAGTATTAAGTCCAACTATAAAGTCTGTGCGTTGGCTGTGTTAGCGCTCCTCTCATGGATGCATAGTTTCCCAGTTAGCATTAAGGACACTGGAGCGTGTATGTTGGATGCATCACGCCTCAAAAATAGCTTTCAGAGCTAAGTAAGCAGATTCCTCCCATTTTAGACAGTGGCACAGGCTGTGCGTGCATGTGTGTGTGCATGTGTTTCTTTAAAGGGCATATCAATATGCCAGCCTCCACTGCCAGTGCATCTCTTAGCCAGCAGCCTTCCCAAGTTGTGACTGATAGATTGACAGTCCTCTGGAGAGAAGAGCTCATTCACACGCTGTGTTTATTTTGTGTAGCTAGGATTATATTTTATTGAGCCGCAACAAAAATCCCACTTTAATTGTTGCTTTAATTTCTTCCTAGCAGCACAGTCCCCAGAAGGGGTGACCTTCATGCAGATCTGTGCCCACTCTAGAAATGGATGGATATGAGATAGCTGGAGGGGTGTGAAATGGCCTTCGTAGCAGTCTTTCATGAATGCATTGCTAGTTTTAATCCAATTTATTCACAAAGTGACAGGGAATGGAGACTGGCCCATGGCTGTTTGGTAGTCTTGCAGCATTTCCTAGGTGATAGGCATCTACCTCTCCAGCAGTGTTGCTGGGCCTTGCCATTGCTTGTTTCAGCGCAAAGCTGGCAGTGGACTTTATCTAACTGATTTACAATGTACCCAGACAATGTCCAATTCCCACTTGTTCCCAGTGCTCTGAAGGGATTTGAGAAAGCGAGCATTCAGGTGCAGTGCATGCTGTAGGAATGCTGCTCTGCTTTCCCCTTGATGTAGCAATAGGCTTCCAGGGTGGCAAAAAGGATGTACAGCAGCCACAGGCTGACAAAGAGCAACGTCGTGGCCAGTTTGCAACCCCGGGGACCGCCCAGCTCTCCCCCGAGGTGGGGCCGCCGGCGGTAGAGGAGAACGCTGATGCAGATGAAGGCGAAGATGGTGAAGAGGGTGACAGAGAAGGCCAGGGTACCGGCTGACACCTGGAACTCCTGCCCCTGTGAAAAAAACAGAAAAAAACAGAAGGAGCTGCCACCCAGCCTTTGCTCTTGCAGACTGGCAGGTCTCCCTTGCCTGTAACAGCCCACGAGCAACCTGGCATGAGGAGCTGATGATGAGTACCTGGTGCATAAGACTCAGCTTGTGTAGCCTGAGCAGTCTGCACACCTCCTGTAGCCCAGATGGGCTGTTATCCCTTGGTGGTCACAGACCTACATCCCAGTGCAAACAGGGTTTTGGGGACGGCTCTGTCCCCACCTTCCTCTTCCTGGGGAGGAGGTGACAGCTGTCCTGGAGGCCCTGGTGAGCTCCTGTTCTTGCCAGGCATATCCAGACCTTATCAGGCTTAATTGGGGTTGACAGCTGAGAGTCCAGGGTGCAATCCGCATTGAGGAGTAGGTGCAGATGCTGATACAAACAGAAATCAGGCTAGTTAATAATTAAGCTACAGTTTGACAGTGTTCACCTTGTCAGGTTTGACCTTCCAAATTAAAAAGTCTGTCTCTCTCATCCAGCTCAGCTTCTGGGCCTCTGCTCATAGGGCTCCACTCAGCATCCAATGGGAACAAACAGAATCGGCAAGCTCAGTTCGGTTTGTGTCTTAAGTTAGGATGAAAGACTTAGGTTTAACATTTTCAAATTCACCTCTGAAATTTGTTAGGTTTCTGTACTTTGCGTAACAGGTTCTCTTTCCTGTTGCATATTTGGAAATATTCCAGATGTATTTCTGCTTTTTGCAGCCCTGGGGCATGTCCAGAGAAGGGCAGCAAAGCTGGTGAGGGGTCTGGAGAATAGACCTTATGAGGAGCAGCTGAAGGAGCTGTGAATCTTCAGTCTGGAGAAGAGGAGGCTCAGGGGAAACTATATCGCACACCACAATGAACTGAAGGGAGGCTGTAGAGGGCTGGGGGTCAGCCTCTTCTCTTGTGTAGTGATAGAACCAAAGGGAATGGCCTCAAGTTGTGCCATTCAGTTGGATGTTAGGAAATATTTTTTCTCCAAAAGAGTGGTCAGGCGCTGGAATGGGCTGCCCAGGGAGGTGGTGGAATCACCAACCCTGGAGATGTTCGAGAAATGTTTAGATGTTGTGCTGAGAGATGTAGTTTAGTGGGAAATATTGGTGACAGGGAGACGGTTGGACTGGATGATCTTGCAGATCTTTTCCAACCTTGATGATTCTATGATACACGAGTCGTGCGGGAATCATCTCCTTTTGCAGCTGAAGTAAGCTTCCTCTGTGAATGTTTCTGTGAGATACCCTATCAGGCATGCTACATGTCAGTTGACACCTACTTGCAGCTCATATCTGAGGGTTTTAGCACGGGAGTGGTATTCAACAACCTGCCTGCAGTGGACACCCTTGACATGGCTTCTTGGGTGACCACATTTCTTCCTCAGTGCTACAGTTCACTGTATTCACTACAGAGGAGCTGTGTGGGGGCAGCTGGACCTCCCTTACTCAGGTCTCGGGACATGCTGTCAGCAGGCTGCAGCTCTCCAGCTCTGGCCATCACCTGGCAAGGCCTTGGTCATGAAGGTGCCACTTCTGCTGACATTTCACAGTACTGCACATTCCACAGACACCTGCCAGCAGTCAGAGGACCTGGGCACAGCGTTCTGTGTAGCCCTGGATTGGCCCGCTCCTCAGAGTGCTGCTGTAGCTCTCGCACTGCCCTGCCTGGCATAGGCACATCAAACAGCATGAGCAAGGAGGCAGGGGTTGAGATAAGTCTGTGTTGGATGCTGCTTCCCGCAGGGAGGAGAGCATGTTCTGTGGTGCGTGCATTTAGGGACCTGTCTGAAGATGGCTAAGATTTGCATGAGACTCTGTTGTCTTGCCATATCAGAAGCTTTTGTCAAATCAGTTAAAACAGGGACTGAGATGTTTGTGTGTTGGTTTTTTTTTTTTTTGTTGATTTTTTTTTTAGCACTTCTCCTGTCATTGTTAAGCTGGGGAAATTTAATCCAAGATTCCCAGCCTTCTGGGAAGACACTTGCTTTCTTTCTCTGCTGCATGACAGGAGCTGGTAGGCAACAGCCTGGTGCTGCTAGCTGCAGCCCATGTCTGCTCTGATGGTATTACTTTCCAGGGAAGGTCGTAGTGAGCCAGATTGCAGCAAATCTGGGTTGTGCGGCCCTGCTGGGATGGCTAGCTGTTGTGCTTCATCCTCAGCTCCCTGCTGTGGGTACACACCAGCACCATCTGCTATGCTGGGCCCCTGAAGAGCTGTGGGTGCTTCCTCCTGTGAGCTTTTAATTGTGGGGGGGTGAGCCACACTTGGAACAACAACTGATGTGTAAGCACCCGAATCTTTGATGTTAGATACAGCTTGTCATCCTCATACACTTCTGGATAGAGGCAGAGACTAGATTTTCTAGGTCTCTGTCTTGGAGAAAGAGATTAAGGCTGCACAAACTCCTTGTTCGTGTGAATATAAGTAGCTTGAATCTTGCCTCCAAATGTAGCATACAACATAAGGTTTCTCAAAGTATCCCCTCTGGAGCCACTTGGCCTTTGCCTGCCATCATCCTCTATCCTTCCACCACCCTGAGTAGCTCCAGCTGCTCTGCTCTTCTGTTTCTGTCAGTACTTGTAAACTTCTGGGGATTCCAAATCCACAGGACATGTGTTGGAGTTAGGCAGTGATGGTTTTGATGTACTTCATTGATTTCGAGTGATGGATGTGGTTGTTTGTGCTTCTGTGATGGGCTATAGGAATACCACTTGACGTAGGAGTTCTCGTACATCTTATAAACCCTGCAGTCTCACAAGGCTTACAGTCTCTGCAGTCTAGCAGGGCTGACAAAGGGAAGGCAGAGTTTACAATTGGATTCCACTGGGAGTTTATCACTTCTGTGCAGTTTTGGTGAGGAGTAAGAGATCTGCTGGAGTCCAAGTGGGATTGGTCACATCTGAGGCATTACCTGGGGTGTCTGTAAACTCAACAGGAAGCCTTGGTAATACCTGACCCACTACTTGGCCAGAATGGGATGCTGTTCCTTTGTGGTACCTCCCCAGATTCTGCTGAGCTCCCACAACTCAGCATTTATCATCCAAGAGCACCAATGCAGGCTGAAGAATTTTTTTTCTTTTTAGAGACAGCCATGCTTTATATGCTCTCAGTGACTGATAGGCAAAAATCTTGGTCCTTTGTTCCCATGGCCCAGCACTCCACCCCTGCCCCAGGTCTCTGTGTTACTGCAGGGAGCTGCAAGGGAGCTGCTGCCTGCAGCTCAGTGTTGGTCTTGCTTTTGCAGAAGTGGCTGAAAGGAAGCTGACAGTTGAAGAAGAGGAAGCCAAGAGGATTGCAGAGATGGGCAAACCAATACTTGGCGAACACCCCAAACTAGAAGTCATCATTGAGGAGTCATATGAGTTCAAGGTCAGTGGTTGTCCCAGGAGTCCTCCAGGTGGGGGAAGCTGTGTGGCAGTGAAGAGCTGCCATGGAAAGCAGGGTTGAGGAGGCCAGGTATGGCTGCGTTTACAGGGGGAGGAAAAAGAGTGTGTGATACAATAGAGGGCAGGGAAAGACTGAATAAATGCCAGGAGATGTAGCTGCTGGTAGGCAGAGGTTAAGAGAGAAAGACAGGGGAGTCCTGTTAGAAGCAGATGCCACCATGCCAGAAAAGCAAACTGTGCAAGGCAGGATTGACAGAAAGGAGCTGAGCTTTGTAGAAAGGAGTACCAAAAAAGCAAACTCTGGTGAAGTACAGCTCATGATGTACTGGGCTGGGAGTTACCAGTGGGTTCAGCATGGAGCTTCTGATAGGAGCATTTCTGTGGCACCACCACAGTTTGACAAGGGGCAGAAGGGAAGGTCAGCTTTGCCTGCTAGCAAAGGGTCTAACTGCTGTGCATCTTTATTCCCACAACAGAGCACTGTGGACAAGCTCATTAAGAAGACAAACCTAGCTTTGGTTGTAGGGACACATTCCTGGAGGGACCAGTTTTTGGAGGCCATCACCGTCAGTGCAGGTGAGAGGGAGATCAGCAACCCCATACCAGCATCCCCTGGGCATGTGCAGCCAGGGATGAGATGTGTCTGGGCTTATGAGGCAGATTCTTCCAATCTCTGAGTTAATCTTTCCCCTCCAAGAGGTCACTTATACCCTCACACAGGTGTGACACTTCTTGCTGGGAAGGGTCCATCAGCCCATGATTTGGAGCAGGTGGACCAAGAGAGCCCTCTAGTTTCCCTCAGTGGCACTCATTTCTATAACTTTCTGCTGTGTGATTTCATGGTGTCTCTCAGCAGTGATTTCCACAGGGTAACTAGGTACTCTATGATGGTCCGTGGCTGGGGATGAGAACAGGACAGCCCCTGAAAGTGTTGCTCAATGTCTCACAGCCACACAGGGTGGATGTGTGCTCCTGAGGTGTCCTAGGAGTCCTTCCATCTTGCTGAGCCCCACCACTGCCACTGAGGGCTCCGGCAGCTGCTAAGTCCCACCAGCTCATTCCCATGGTGGTGGCTGGCACCAATGCGGTACGCCTCCATGCTGCTTTGTGTGGGGAGGGAGGCAGCCCCCCAGTCTTGCACCCAGTGGCCAGGCTGGAGAAGTGCAGCAGAAGGTGGGTGGCCTTGAGGATGCTCAATCGTATGAGCTGGACCTCTTATTCCATGTTTGCAGCAGGTGACGAAGATGAGGATGAGTCTGGTGAAGAGCGCCTGCCATCCTGCTTCGACTACGTGATGCACTTCCTGACCGTCTTCTGGAAGGTGCTGTTTGCCTGCGTGCCCCCCACCGAGTACTGCAATGGCTGGGCCTGCTTCGTTGTCTCCATCCTCATCATTGGCATGCTCACAGCTGTCATCGGTGACCTCGCCTCCCACTTCGGCTGCACCATCGGCCTCAAGGACTCGGTGACCGCCGTTGTGTTTGTAGCCTTCGGCACCTCCGTACCAGGTGGGGAGGCTATGGGGAGGGGATGGGGGGTCCGGAGGAGATAGGGTTCTATGTCCCAGCTGTCTGGTAGCACACCTGAGCCTCCCTCATCCCCCAGCATGAAGGGTTGCCCGTTTCTCCTGCTGGACCCTGATGATCCCTCCTTCCCCCGCAGACACATTTGCCAGCAAAGCTGCAGCCATCCAGGACGTGTACGCCGATGCCTCAATCAGCAATGTCACAGGCAGCAACGCCGTCAACGTCTTCCTGGGCATTGGGCTGGCATGGTCGGTGGCAGCGATCTACTGGGCGTCACAGGGGCAGGAGTTCCAGGTGTCAGCGGGTACCCTGGCCTTCTCTGTCACCCTCTTCACCATCTTCGCCTTCATCTGCATCAGCGTTCTCCTCTACCGCCGGCGGCCCCACCTCGGGGGAGAGCTGGGCGGTCCCCGGGGTTGCAAACTGGCCACGACGTTGCTCTTTGTCAGCCTGTGGCTGCTGTACATCCTTTTTGCCACCCTGGAAGCCTATTGCTACATCAAGGGGTTTTAGGCGGCAGAGAGACGGTGCCGCCGAGGGAGGGACCCCCTCCTCCATTACCTCACCGGACACCGGCCCTGGATGAGTGGTTTCACCAGGATGGACGGCTGTCAGCTCGCCGCCCTGACAGGTGCCAGGATGGGCAGATCCATCACGGGACGATAAAGAAATCCACGAAAACCACCCCAAAAAATGATGCAAAAGAAAAGAAAGCAACAATGGCAAGCATTTAAAGGGACAAAATGAAGTAAACCCAGCCACTGACTCCAATCGATGTGACTAAGAAGTCTCAGCCATCTCCCAAGGCCACCTCTCCCACAGGTTCGTTTCCTCTTCTCCAGAGCACCCCTCCGCTGTAAGGAGATGCTTTCTTGTTTTTACTCTTTATGAATTGCAGAAGTCTGATAGGAAATTTTTTTTTTTTTTTTTTTTTTTTTTTTTGCCTATTGCTTTGTAGTTTGGGGGGGAGTGCACATGGCTTGATTTTTTTTATTATTATTATTATTTTATTTTTTTATTTTTAGTACATAGACAGAAAAATGTTAGAAGTTTAAAATCTAAAGCTTCAAGCTGCCATCAGTGCTGGAATCGAAGGTGTACTTTTTGAAGCCACAACAGACTCTGACACTGTCAAAGAACTTTTTCAATCTCACAAGTTTCCTCCCCCGCCTCCATCCATTACTTTCTTTTTTAAGAGCATCACAGGACTGATATATTTTTAATACAGACACACACATACATACACACAGCACACCAGTTCAGTGATGAAGGCTGAAGCATGTAGCATCTCAATCACCTGCCTGGGCTAAGAAAAAAAAAAAAAAAAAAGGAGGAAAAAAAAAAAAACCAAAACAACCAACCTTCTAATATAATATGTATAATGTATATTTTGACTATGGCATTTCTCTTTGTGTAATTAACTTTGAGCTTGTAGTACTGCAGGAAGAGAAAATGATGTTAATGGGCGAGAGGTAGTGAAATGAACAGCAGTACAGTCACAGCCGGCTGAGGGGTCCGTGAGATTGCATAGGCTGCTCAAGATAGGGGCCTGGCACAGCCCTGTCCTGTAGGCCTCAGTGGATGTGGGAGTGAATCCCAGATTGAGGTTAGGTCTAAACACGCAGGTTGGTGAACAGGAATGGGGTCCTTGTCCCACCCATCACCCCCCTCACGCTCCATGGAAAGGACCAGGCTTCAAACTGCTGTCCACCTGCAGTCCTGTGCAACCCCAGCACACCCCCTGAGAGCAGACAGGCAGACAGGCACACCCTTTTCATCTCAAGTGCTTTTCTTTTTCAGGAAAAAAAAAAACAAAAGCAAGAGTATGAATTACATGAATTACATCAACGGCTGCAAATCAAAATGTTGGGTTGGTAATAAAATTAAATAAAACTTATACCTATATCTATATAAACAGTTCTATCTATAAACACGTTTCTTAACTGAGAGACCTGGAAGACGTTAAAAACCTTGCTTTTTTAAAAGTGTTTCCAAGAGGAAGATAATTTCTTCTATCAAGAAACAGGTGCTGTACAGAAAAATCCGTGACTTCGCTAGCATCAGCCAAACCCAGGCAGTCAGCACAGCACAGACTGAGGGGCTGCCAGCATACTGGAGTGCTTCCTGCTGCCCTTGGAGATGGTGGCTGCAGGTGAGGGCAAAGCAGTAGGAATTAGGCTGTCATGGATGGAACACGCGTATCATTATAGCAGGTAAAAAGATGAGTGGGACATTGGTCTTTAAAACACAGAGGAAATATTTATTTTCGTACAAAAGGTTTATTGAATATCTCGCTGTATAAATGTGTGTAAGCATGAGGCAAAGAAGGATCCATCTTGCAGGAGCTTTGCAGGTGAAGTGCCCTTCATGGAGGCTAAAGGGAAGACAGTCTACTGCCTCTTCTCCTCCCTCTGTGGTGGCTTTTAGGGGAGGGCACAAGAAAGAGGGGGATCCTGCCAAGTGAGTTGGTCTCTCTGGTATCTGGCCATGCCACCACCCACCGAGCAGCTCCTGCCGGCATTGGGCACCACTTCTGCTGCCATCCAGGCTGGGACCCCATAGCACAGATGTGTGACTGGTGAGGAAAAATGAAAGAAGTCCCGACAAGTGATCTCTGGATGTGTGTGTAGGGGTGTTTAAGGTGCAACGGGATTATGTTATCATTGCAGTTTTTAATTTGGACATGTCAAGTCTGTTGTTATTTTAACCATATCAGTTCCCCCGTTCCTGGCTAAAACTCGGGCGTGGGGAGCTCACTGTTATGCAGTGCTGTTATTCTGTTGCTTGTGCTGTATCGGTCATGTGCTTTTCATCTGCAGCTTTCTTAGGCTCACTCTGTGGGAGGGGGTGCAGGGGGATGAGCATCTGTGACTGCCAATTGCATGGTGACTTTGGTGCCCTCGATGCACTGCGGAGACCTGTGCCAAGCTGACAACTTCAGTGGAGTGTTTATTTTATTTTTCCTTTTTTACTTCATTAAAAAATATGCAAGCTGAAAAAAAAAAAAAAAAAAAAAAAAAAAAAAAGCAAATGTGGTGCCTTGGGGATTTGTTTTTGCTGAGGCTTTTATGTTTTATTTTTGGTTTGTGTGCTTGCATCTGGGCAGGTGTGTGGACACCATCGCTCACCCTGCCTGTTTCACTCTCTGCCAGCATCAGGTTTTGCTGGGAGGATCCAGCAGCAGCTTTACCTTTGAAGCTTTGCAGAGGGGAACTTTTGCTGCTCTGTTTTCCTTGCTTCTGCAAAAAAGGCAAAGCCATTGCCTTTAGTGTCAGTGACTGGGTTTGGGGCACAGGGTGCTGGAACCCCCAGCCTGCCTGGCTCACTGTCACCACTGCACAGAGGCAGGCCAGCACTCAGAGGATTAGGTCCGGAACCTAAGGATGCTACCCCAGGGAAAGTTGGGCTGAATGGGAGGAGACTGCAGGCATTGGGAATCAGCTGCAGTACACAGTTAAGAACTGAGTGGCTATTAAAGCTGTTGAGCAAAGTTTTTAAACCAGGGAGGAGAGCATTTGCAGCTCTTAGCTCAGAGTTTCTTACCTTTTTGGTAGTTACTGTTGTGTTAGCGTCATCAGAACTTTTCTGGACAAGCACAAATTAAAGACAAAAATATTCTGTGATTTACGTTTTCTCTGATCTCACAGCTGTGGCTGCTGGACTCATTTATAAGCCACTTGTCCCTGGTACCAGAGGACTTCTCCACTCTCCATCTTAAAGCAGCAACAATGCCTCAACCCACAGCATCATCTGCAAGGAGAAGCCACCATCAATCTGCATGTGCCACCACCATGGGCTTCAGTCGCCTTGGCCCATTGCTGTGGTAGGATGACGCCAACTCACATGCCTTCCCCAGCAGAGCACTTGGCTCTGGGAAAGCATTTGTAAGGCTGCTGTAGTACCTCTAGGTGGTGAGATATAGAATAATAAAGGTTAAAAAAACCCACTGAAGTCATCAAGTCCAACCGTTGGCCCATCCCCACCATGGCCACTAACCATGTCCCTCAGTGCTACATGTACACATTTCTTGAACGCCCCCAAGGACACTGACTCTACCACCTCCCTGGACAGACCATCCTCAGTCACTTTTTGAACGTGTGGTGTTGCACAGCTACAGGTAATCCTCGTATCATTCACCTGATATTGCTTTGGGGTTGGGCATGGCAATATTTCCGGGTTTATTCAGCTGGGGAATTGTCATGGCCATGACCTTGGTGTACGAACAAGCCCACAGGAAAGGGAGCAGCAGTTGCTCAGCCCTGGCCACAAGCTGAAAAGCACTGTCACCAAGAATAACCTCTGGAATATTGTATGGAAAAAAATGTTTTTAATGACTGTTGTCATAACATGTGAGTGTGTGCCAGAGGCAGCCTGCTTGTTAATAGTGTTATTTGTGACTTGCCTCCACAGGGGGGTGGGGACGAACGTCCTCTCGGTATTTAAGTGAGCTATTTACAATATAATGTCTAGATAATTAAAACCATGAGTAAATGACTCACCGATATTAACGCCCTGAGGAGTTTTACCCAAAACACACACCCCTCTGCCTCCCCTTCCCTGGGAGGCCATGCTTTGCCTCAAGTGGTGGCTGGATTGGATTAGTTTTCCTCAGGAAAACCAAGATGTGCCTCCAAGAAAAGATGGCTTGAGCTTAGACACAGAACCAGCACGTATGACATGATGCTGATGAGCTCATCACCTATAACTAAGGATGCACCGATGTCTCACAGTGCCATTGTTAATGCCACTTACATGGTGAGCTGAGTGCTGTAGCTAAAGGAAAAATCATTACCTACCCACCTCATCATTGCTGAGGGTATACTCAGAGACTGGCCCAATTTAAACAATGCAATAAAAAAATAACACAGGTCTAGAAAGTTAAATTGAGTCTGACATTTAGGTAAATTAAAGAACTAAACCCTTTAAGCAAGATTGTATTCTTTTAGAGTGTGAATTTATAATTCATATAATATAATTGTGAAGTTATAAATAAATTCTTGGGATGACCTCTCTGGTGTCTCAGGAAATAGGCTTCATTACAGGAACACTGGTTGTGTTTTCTGAAAACGACATGCATACAACTTGGGTGCACAGAAAAGATGTAGGAAAGAAACTCAACATTAAAGCTGAAAAGGGGCCTTCTTCTCTCAAGGACACCTCAGTAGGGCATGCTGTAGAGACTACTCCCATGGTTGTTCAATAAGCTTTTAAAAATGTAGCAAAAGAGGGTGTATAACCTCCTTTCCTTCAAAAGCATTTTGCATAGAAAATAACAGCAAAACTAAATGGTTTTCTTTTGCCCTGATGACTTTTTCCTTCTTGTTTTATTCACAGTGGCACGGAAAACCACTGATTACCATCACTCATAGGAGTATGCTGGATGTTAAAAAGACCTTCAGGTTCTCCCCTTTCTCCTCTCTCAGCTTCTAAGCAGTATTTGCTACTGGATTACATTTTGTTTGTACATTCTCCTCAGTATTCCCATGGCAGGTCATTGCATAGTCCTTTGCTGGAGCTCATCCTGCTGACTTGGATGGTTTCTCCAATTTATCAAGCTTTCTGGTTCTACCCTTCCTAAGTGCTCACTGCCCCACGCAGTTGGATGCCACCAGGACATTGTATAGCAAAGCAGATTCCTAAAGCTGCTGATGAAAATACTGAATAGACCTGGACCCTGGACAGACACTCAAAAGACTTGCCCAGAAAGCTCTCTGACTTTGACACTGAGCTCTATGTATTGTGAGTCTAGGTTGCATTTCCTCAGCTTGCTTATGAGAACATCTTCTGGGACAGTGCCAGAAGCCTTCCCAAAGTCAAGATATA